GAGAACTTTCCTGCCCACCACCTGGACCCAGCCTGGTCCTTGGGGAGGGCTGGAGCCCACTGTTCATGCCCACCCTGGAAATGCAGCAGAAGGAGCCATGTATTTTCCATTCCCCATCAGCTTCAGCCCAAGGGTAAAGCTCTGACCCAGGAGCTGCCGCAGACGTCCCTGGCTGGTGCCAGCCGGGCGGTGGCACAGGATTTTGTCAACCCGGGCAACGTTTGGGAGGCTGAAGCAGGAGTGAGATCTGACCTTTTGGTGCCCACAAAAGTAAATCTGTCTCAGAGGTTTTTGGGGCTGCCAGCAAGCTGAGAGCGAGCTGGCGCAGTGGGAGAGCCTGAGCTCCTGGGAGCGATGCAAAGCCAGGCCATTCAGTGCTGGGATCGTGGTGTTTCGGAAAGAGGGAGCAATGGGGAAAGCCGTCCAAAAGCTGTCTGGTCTGGGGGTCGGGAGGCCGGCATAGATCGCTTTCAATGCAGCAGGGCTGAACTGTGTGGCGCTGAGCCAAGCCTGACCTAACCAGCTTATTTCCCTGCTTTCAGTAATGCCAGTACAAATGAGCTGAGGCCTGAAGGTCACAGCCACGTGAGCAAAGGTCTGGGGATTAGCTGCGGGCAGAGTGCGGCTCCTCCCGGGTGTGCTGTCGTAGCCCTGAGCCCCGGGATCCACCGTGGCTGCTCTGTGTGCAGGAGCCAGCGTGGCATTGGCACCTTGGGTGGGCATCAGAGGAGCGGGGGGCTGACTGGGGGCATCTCCTCCTGTACCTGGCATCTCTCTGAGGTCGAGGAAGATGGTAAATGTTTGCTTATCCTATATCGGCCCAAATTTTCCTTCTGGGTGTTGGTAGCCCTGCCCAGTGAGTTGCTTTTATGAATGTTTCTCCTGCAAGAGTGTCTAGCTCTGGTTTTGGAAGTAAGCCCAGCAGATTTGCAAACTTCTGCAAGGCATCTGGTTTGGATGCGCTCACATACCTGAGGGCTACAGAGGCCATGCTCAGCTGAGCATGCAGGGTCCCTCCTGGGGCAGAGGGTCACAGCTGTCCCTATTGCAGTAGAAGTTACTGACCTGGTGTGGTGCATGGGGGCATTTCTCTTAGAAACCTGGGAGACAAGTTCAAGAAGCCTAATACCAGATGAGGGCTTTGCAACTGAGTAGTGGTGATGCATCTCTAGGCACTGATGTCGTCAGACATGAGAGCAAAACGACATCCAACAGCATCCTCAGCACAACCATCTCTTAGCTGCCTTCATGTGGCTCTGACTCTGAATCCTGAAAGCCCCGTTCCTTTCAGAGCTGTTTGGGTGCTCTCCCTGGGGGATTTGGAGGAGTGGCAGAGGTGAGTGGGTGCCATGGGACCTGGTCCAGCTCCTCCCTGTCCTGGAGGGAGCTGGCAGCAATTCACAGGCCAAGAAGTACCTGGGGCTCACTCTGCACTGCATCTGTGGGAGACAGCCTGCAGGCTGCTGGATGTGCTCGGGGCAAGCCCGGCGTTTCTCCCCAGAAACCCAAACTTAGCTCGTCCTAATGCAATGCTCTGATCCCCTCCTCACTGTCCTGAAAGCCCCGTCAGGCTCCGATGCTGAGCCCATCAGGTGGAATTACTTAATCCAGCCCTGACAAGTGACACTTGAACCCAGGATCGGGTCCCTTCCCTCTAATCCCTCGCTGCCATCAGCCCTCTTAGCATGCACAGGGCAAAACAAACAACACGTGAGCAGATGGTGCCTTCTCCATCGTCCTGCCATCGCTTCAGCAGCCCTGGATATAACTGCCCCGTTACCTTTTTGCCGTGAGCTGCTCCCATGGTCCGACGTGTCGGCTGTGCCCTTCTCACCCGGGGTGCGGGACCGGCACTGTTACTCACGGCGGGATGTGCGGCTGTGCAGCTCCAAAAAACCGGGCACAAAGTCAGCTTTCATGCTGCGGATGCCCGGTTTCTAAGCTTGGATCCGTATTTTGAGAGGCTGTGGAAGATTACAGTAATTGCACTTGACAGGGCAAGATGTCACAGGACGCGGATTCGCCCGGCTGCGGGGCCCCAGCACCCATCGGTCCTCGCCTGGGGTATCCTTACTCGCTGCTGCTTTGGTGCTTTGCTGAAATAAATCTGTACCCCCAAACCAGGCAGGATTATCCCTCTGCTGCCTGCCTGCATCCTGGCTCTTGGCTCCTGCTGCAGCACTGGATTTTGCAAACTTTGCTCCTCAGGTTCAACAAGGGCAAGTGCAGGGTCCTGCACCTGGGGAGGAACAACCTCATGCACCAGTACAGGCTTGGGGTGGACCTGCTGGAGAGCAGCTCTGCGGAGAGGGACCTGGGTGTCCGGGTGGACACCCATGCCTATCAGAGCTTGCTCTCCCACTCCTGCTGCAGCACTGGATTTTGCAAACTTTGCTCCTCTGAATGCCCTGGGCTGCCTGTTTGCTGCCGAAGCCCACCATGGCCGCCAGTGAGCCCAGGTTACCCGGAGCTGCATCCTGGGAGGCCAGGCAGGTCAGGGCTTGTGTTTGCTGAAGTTCCTGGGGGATGTGGGATGGTGAAAACCAGCCAGGTGGGTGCCTGCCTCTGCAGTAACACAGCTTTCAAAATGCCAAGGCACAAAAAAACCTCATTTGAGGATTGCTGTCCCTGCACTGACCACCCTTTTCAGATCTTTTTTAAAAAATGAGCAAATTAAATTTAATTCCTAGAGCCATATATATACCCCAGACTCTGGGCTTTTGAAAAGTTCCCATTTATTTCTTGGGACATGGTGACTTTGGCAGGAATGGCTCTTCAAAACACTGGCTGATGATTAAGGTCTGTGCACAGGAGCTGCACTTTCAGCTCTCCTTATTTTTTGAAAACAGTGGTGTACGTTAGTAATGGCTCAGTGATAGATTCAAATCTAGTTTTAACCCTCTAGGGTGCTGAAATGTAAATTTCCTTTATTTGGGCTTTAAACCAGTTTTCTAAGGTGCACTGCAAAGGGCTAGGAAGAGTTTCCTGTGGCTGAAAGGGGCTGGTTCTTTTCTGGGCTGTAGCTGATGCTGTGAGCCGGTTTACCCCGTACAGCCGCCTCTACAGCTCTTGGGCTGTTTTCAGTGTGGCTTATGAGTGAATCTAGATCCTCTGAGGGGGCTTAAAATAGTTGGCATATTTATGCTGGCAGTGCGGCAGGGCTGTGTGATGTGAGGGCTGTTGTGTCTGTTGTGTTGTGTTATTTCTTGCCGCTGCCACGGGGAGGGATGATTCAGCGCTTGGGATTAACCGCTGCTGTTGCAGCAGATTTAGGGATCGATTTATGGCAGAGGGTTTCCTCGGTGCGATCAGGTGCACGTTAAGAGCGCGGGAGGATAAGCTGGGATAAAATACTTACAGCTACTGTGGGATTTCTCTGTGATGGCTGTTTGGAGTTTTTATTTCAGTTTTGTCTTTGGAAGTTCTTGTAGGCCTTACAGAATTTATTCTGGGATTTTTCTGTTTTTTAGTGAAAACATGTTGCCTTGCTGGCTTTGGATGGTGATGGTGGGTTTTGGATCCAGGGTTTCATCCCTACAGCGGCTGGCACAGGACAGGTTGTGTCTCTTCCTGGCCTTATCCTGCCAATGCTCCTCACTTTTTGTGCTCCCCTGGGGTGAGCTGTGGGCTCAGACAACCAATGTGAACTGCCCGTGGAACCTGTGATGGGGCAAATCCTGCTGTTAGAGGCAGAAAATGCTGTCCAGGATTTGCCTCATGTTACCCTGCACAGCTCCAGCAGAATTGTTCCACCCTTACATTCTGCAAAACTGCTGGTCTGCTTTAAAGAGTGGGGAAAAACCAGATACAATCATAGGAAATTAAAGTCTGTATGTGATGCAAATTTATCACTGTCCATGATGACAGATAAGCCCAGGCCATCACTCATGCAGCTTATCTGATCTCAGCTGTTCTCGCGCTTGGGAAGGCTTTGGGCAGAGGCAGCTCTTGGGCGAATGCACCCCAACAGGAGCGAGGGGCAGATGCTCCCCCTGGACCCCCTCAACGCTGGGCAGCAGCATGGAAACCGCCATGGAAGGAGGTCTGCGGGGCTTTACCAGCCTGCCTTTGGGCAGGGGTCTCTCCTCTCCCGGTGGTGTTGGCCGGCCCCGGGCTGGGGGGCAGCTCCCGGGTACGGGGGGGCCGGCAGCGGGGTGCCTGCCTGGGTGCGTTGTATGGCTCTGGACTGATGCTGGCTCCAGCTCTCCCGGTAAAAGGCTCCCACCTATTGGTTATGCTGCACAACTTCAGCTGCCTGAGAAAATTGCACATCCATCCCTCCCTCTTTGCCGGGCGAAGTTGGGTTGGTATGTCCCTGGTCACACAACCTTTGGGAGACCTGTCATGGAGGCTTAAACTCTGACGTAACCCAGGAAAGATGCAACGGGGTGGGGGGAATGCTTCAGTCTGCAAATATTACCCTTCATTGCTGCAAGTCATCCCTGTGGCTGTCTGGCCTTATTGTGGCTGTAGGAGAGAGCAGGATGTTGGCAGGAGCTCCAGTGGAAGCCACCAAGGTTTGAGCATCCCTGGGGAAAACTTTGCCCTGCGCCATGCGGGGAGGGGGAGCACCCGTGTGCAGTGCTGCGGGATGGGTGACAGCGATGCCCGGCTGGTGGCAGAGGACACGGCAATGCTGTGCCTGTAGAGAAAAGCCTGAATTATTCTTGAAAATGTAAGTGAGAAGGTAGTGTTTTGTCATTAGGTGTCTTATTTAAGAAATCTGAAAAACCTTCTACAAAGCTTTTTGTTTAAAGACAGAAAAATGAAATACCCCAAACTGACCCATAGATGAAGATAGTTTGGCTGAAACCTGGCCGGGCATTTGCTCAGGTTCTGCAGGCAGCTGTGCAGCTCTCCTCCAAGCCCCACGCGGCCCCTGCTGTGAAACGGCCGGTCCCTGGGAGTGGGCACTGCTGCTGGGCTGTGTGACCGGGCAGTGATGGGGTTGGGGTCCCTGTGAGACTGGTCTCTCCTCTGTAGCGGGCTGGGGTTTGGTGCTAATCTGTCTTCCTAGGGGCACAGCCCTCCATCTCCAGCAGCTCGGGCCACCCGTCGTATTTATTCGTATTCTTGTCATTTTTGATGTGCTGCAGGGGAAAAAAGAGAGGGGAAAAAAAGAATGAGGAGGCTGGTGGCATAGTGCAAGTTCGCAGTGTAGCAAAACTTGCAGCTTGGCTTAATGTGGGGATAACACCACTGGCCCACGTCTTCTGCAGAGAGGTAGGTGACATGTGGCTCAGGGGGTGCTACAAAGAGGATGGGAGCCTCTGGAGCTGGTGGCAGGGGAGGGCCACGTACCACTTCAAAGGGGCTCTTGTTCTTCAGCCCTTTCGCACCCAAGAAGATCCAGTTGTCCCGGAAGCCCAGGTTGCTCACGTGGCTACTGCCCAGCTCCACAAAATGTGCCCGTATTTTGTCATTCATCCTGAAAGAGAGTAAGAAGGTGTTAGTGTTGTCAGATTGGTGTCCCCTCTCTGCTGCTGCAGCAGCACCTCCAGCTTCCCCCAGCTGCAGGTTTTTGGGGAGCCAGGTGTTACTCCCGGGGCCAAACTCACTTTGTGGCAGCGTCATCGTAGCTGGCTGCCAGCACGAAGGTGCCATGCTTGATCTCTTGGAGGAAGGTATCCAGTATGTTAATGTCTGGGAGAGAAGAGCATTAGGAAAAGAAATAGGGATTGTGTAGGGACTGCTGCATGGCAACTGCGGGAGCGTCCACTGGGTCGGTGAGAAGTATCCTGGCTTTGCTGGTGCTAGACTGGACTTGGGGTCATGGGCCTGGGGAAGGAGGGGCTCCCAGATGCTGTGTTCCCCATCTTGTGTTCCCAGCCAGGCTCTCCCGCAGTGTCCAGGCTGGTGCTTTCCTCCTGCTGGCATGACAACTGCAGGGGGGAGCTGGCAGCTGAACTCTGCTCACTAACTGTGAAATCTGGTTATGTGAATTTACTTCCCAACGCCAGGAACGAGCTTGCTCGGCCGCAGAGCTGCTGCCCTGCCATCCTGCCTTCGGCTGTGCTGCGGGAATTATTCCTACTCCTGCATCCGAGGGATGCTCGGGTCCAACGCCCCATCTAGCGGCACTGGAGCCGACTGCTCTCTCCTCCGCCATGCCTCTCCCGCTCACAAACTCAGCCTGAAAGCTCATGATACTGCTGTTTTTAACTCCAGAGTTATGAAGAATAGACTGGAAAACCCAAAAGCAGACAGGGTGCTGGATCCCTGAAAAGGCTCGAACAGAAAGAGTAAATCAAAAGCACTGTAGGGGTGGTTTTAGCACGAGATTTCTGAGGAGTCCTGCCAAAACTCTGGAGAGGCTTGGTGACAGCTTTGCTACAACAGTGGGACTGACAGCATCCTGCAAGTCAGTGCCAGCCGGGCTGTGAGCGGGTGCTGCCCCAGCTCAGGGCATCTTCTTGTTGTTAGGAAGATTGTTTGAAGCCAGCAGGCACAGGGACGTGGTCTTTGCTGCCACCAGGCTCTGCTCCCTGTGCCCAGCCTTGCTGCGGCTGGGGGCCACATCTTGTCTGCCATGCCCTGAGCTCCTCACTTATCCTCCTGCAAAAGGCAGGGAAACAAGCTGCTGCTCAGCCACCACCAGCATTCAAAAACTGAGTTGAAAGTTGCAAAATCTCAAGATTAGTGTAACTACCTGATGTCTGAAAGCAGCTTCTCAGATCTCAAGTGCCCTGGTTTGTTCAGTTTGGTGGAATTACATTTTCAGGCTGTTACACAGACGTGAAAGGAGCGAGAAATCAGTCTTGGGTGCGGATGCATTACGAGGACTCCAGGTTCAATGGCATCAGGGAAAGCTGAGCTTTTACCACCTGAGCTGGCAATCCTGGTCAAAGTTCGCTAGACTTTATCACTAAGTACACGAGAGAGGAGCAGCCTGCATAGCCGGCAGCCAGCTGTGCCGGTGTGAGCCCTGGGTGGGAGCTGTCAGGCAGCAGAGTGACTGTGCTTACCTCCAGAGTACATGTCGAACGTGTTAGCTTTCAGGAGCTGCCCGCTTGTTCCTGGAAGGTTTAAGTTCAAAACAGAGCACAGTGAGTTTGCGCTGGGGTAGCTCTAGGCTTTGCCTGGCCACCAGCCTGGGGTTCCTGCTGCAAGATGCTTTGCTCTTCCCTCAGCGTGTCATATTTGCTGCAATGGTGAATGTGTTGCTTGGTGGAGTTCATGGAGCCATCATGCATGACCCAGGTGGGTTTGTTCCCACCTCCCTGGCAGTGCTTGCAGCCATAATTGTGGCTGTGCACCCCATGCAACACCAGAGTGATGAGCTTTTGCTCAGCCACGGTGCCTGGGACGGGGTCCCTGGTGGCCAGTTCCCTCCTGGGGAAAGAAGGGACCCTGGCCACAGGGAGAGCGGGGTTAGCACCCACATAACTCACCATTCACCAGCGCAATGTTCAGGCCTCTACCAACGTTGTTTTTCACGCTGCTCATGATACTGGAAAGGAAAGCAGAGAGGACCAGTAAGCAAAGGGATGCTCTGGAGATGCTGGTGCCAGTGAAACTATGATGGGGCCAAGTGGCTGCAGACAGCAAAATCCTCAGAAGTGGTAGCAAAGAAAACTATTTCCAATTTTTTTTAACCAGAAATGCACTGCGATGGCTGTCAATGTGCTAGGCAGATGCCAAACTCGCCCTATTCAAGCCCAGCCACAGCTTCTCCACCTCCGCTGTGTGCTGCTTACACTATGTTGTTGAAGCAGATGGAGGGTCCCACCACATTTGCGGCACCGCTGATGATCTTGAAGGCAAAATGGTTCTGGGGACAGCTCTTCTGGTTCCCGCACTCGTACCGGGGCAGCTGCTTGCCTGCAAGGGAGGAGCAGAGCTGCAAGCCATGGCGTTGGCCCTGCGAGGGGACATTGGCAGTGTCCCCAAGGGGCTGAGCGGGGCTGACACTGGAGCACAGTGGGCCATGAAGGGTGTAACTGCTGGACCGTCTTCTTGCATGAAAGAGGCTTGTCCTGGGGCTGGGACCTGCCTCTCATTTGAGGTTTACGGTGCTGAGGCTTGAGGTGGGACGTGCTGGCAGAGGTGCTGAGTGCTGCTCTGGGTGTGAGCCCCAGGACAGTGCAGCTGCTGCCACGGGGATAGCAGAGGGGTGTGTGCTGGGGAGCCTTCGGAGCTGGAACTCATTCAGGGCCAGCTCCTTGGGGCTTTTCTGCCCAGAGCTTCTCTGTTCTCAGCCAGGTAGGGAGCTGTGACCTGCTTCCTGCTGTAGCCTGCAGCCTGGGGGGGTTTCTGCTGGGGCAGGGGGATCACATGAAGGTTCATGTGCTTGGAGAGCCCACCGAAGACACTGCTGCTGTGTGCAATAACGAAATTCCCCTCTGTTTGGGAGTGTGGGACTTTTGCCTTGGGAAAGGAGTTCTTGAGGGCAGCTATCAGGCTTCTGCCATCACTCTCAGCCCTGGAGCAATGTTGTGTGATGGAGATGAAGTTGAGAACGGTACTCACTGCTGGGGTTGTTGGTGGCACCTGTGGGTATCAAGCAGGAGGGTTAGGCACCCTGGAGAGCTGCTGACTCTTCCCCAAGCAAGGAGCAGCCATTCAGGCATCTGCTCTCCAAAACTGGTCCCCGTGGCTGCAAGCACCCCCTGAGGCACCTGCCCCAGTGCAGCTTCCCACCGCACTGTCCCCTCCCTGCCACGATGGTTAGAGCTGGTGGTTATAGCCTTGGACTGGGACTGCCAGTGCAAGTGTTTGTGGCAACTGTACGTAGCTCTGGGGGCTGGCTCTCAGTGTGGACACCCGCACCTTCCCTCCAGACCCAGCTGTAGCCCCACCGGTGCCTCACCGAGCCAGCTCCGCAGGCTTACGACTTTCCATGTGCGGTCAAAGTATGTCTGCACGATGAACCATGTGCCCAGCAGCGTGATGAGCAGCACCACGAACCGGATCACGCCTGCGAGGGGTGGGAGAGGAGCCAGGTGAGAGCAGCAGTAGCGCGGGTTGGGGACCGGAGCATCCCTCCGGCTTCTTGGGGACTTGGTCTGTGTGTGCCCAGGTCACCAGGCACAGGGTGACAGTCAGTGTGTGTGTGGTATGGAAAGGCAGCTACCACTCCTTCCTTCATCCTCTAAAAGGACTCTGATCTCTTAATTAATATTTTTAGAGTGTGTGGCGATGCTCAGATAGACATTACCCTTCTACTGGGAGGCACTATTCGTATTTCTCTGTGCATTAAAGTAAATCTGATAATTAGTCAGAAAGCTATGTAAATTCAAATATTTCTTATGTTCCCAGCACTGGGAAGGCTGCTATCCCCCAATTAGTCACTAGCTACAGCCGAGCAGCTGCTGATACAAGTGTGATTGGCATTTGGCTTTAAAGCAGCGCTCATTGGAGCAAAACGTTCCAGTCCTGCATGGAAAGAGAGTAGAAAAATATACTCATATTGCAACTGAATGGCTCTTATGGAACCAGGAGCGTCTCAATAGCCATCTCTTCCCTGCCACAGAGGGTTTCACTGGGAAAAATACAACAGGCTGAAATCTATACAAGCCTTCTAAAAACCCGATGCTTATGCAAAAGCCCTTTCCCATGGCCCTGGCAGGGAAGGTCAGGGTAGCTGGGCTTGGAAGGGGTCATGTAAAGGAGGGAGAGGCATAAAGAACTGTAGAAAAATGGACAGAGAAAAGTAAATATCTCTGTCTCCCTCCTTACTTGTCACCCGCATGGTGGAGGGGAGAGAGAGCACAACCGAGGGGATGGTCAATGGTCACAAGCCACCCTGAGAACAAAGAAAGAAATACTGTAAAGCATACCTGTAACCCACCAAACCCAGGCAAATAGCAGGTGAAAAATAATTGCTATGTTTTGGCATTTTTGCAATAACTAAGTGGTCACCAAAGATGCATAAATTCCTGTTAGGCGCATATACTCGGTCCCACCCTGATGTCGAAGTCCTGGCTCCTGTATGGTGGAGCAGGCCACACTTGATTGAGCTTGCTTCATTTTTAAGCCTCTGAACTCTTCACTGAGAGTCCGCTGCCCTGCGCACTCCTGTTTCACATCCTGTTGTCAGTAACAGACCCCATTTTTCTGCTGTGCTGATAGTGATGAACTCAAGGAGCACATTTTCATCCACAGCTTTGGTGCATTTCCTTATGGAATGATGCAAAGTAGGCTTCAAATACTGGGGGCTGCAAATTGTTGTCTGAGGACAAGCTGCGATTTGTTCTTGTCCGGTCAGGGGAATCTGCAGCAACAAGCTCTTCCTCCTTAAAACCAGCGAGGGAAGGGAAGAAGGGCAGCGCTGCTGAGCTGGGCAGAGCAGCCAGGTTTGGGGACTCCTAACTTAAGAACAGAAATGTTGCTACTATTCCAAACCCTGCAGTGTCTTCAACCACGCGAGTGGGGAGTGGTTGCAATTTAGAGCATAAACTATTTCCTACCTGAGTGAGTTCATCTGCCCCCCTCCCTCCTCCTGCTGCCACGATGGATGGCGCCCGGGCTCCTGGGGGCTGGGGACCCACTCCTACCTTGGAAATTCAAGGATGCAGCCTGGTGAACGTCCGTCCTGGAAATCACCCTGGAGTCTTAAGGCATATCGTCACCTGCGAGATGTGTGCTCAGAGTTAGAGCCTGATGTGAACTAAAGCAGCCCCTTAGTGAGGCTTGGCGTAGGAAGTTTGTAAAAGTTATGCTGAGAGGTACTTTTCCTGCTTGAAGGGTAAATAAGGAGCAGAGCGTTGTAACAGGGCTGGGCTGAAAATTGATTTCATGCTACTGCGTCATGAGGAAGGAGAGAGGAGTTTTGCCTCCTGCCCAGCCCTGCTCCGAGTCCCCTCCCAGGGCTTGAGTTCAGGGAAAGTCCCACAGCCACGTGGTTGACCATGGCCATGGTGCAGTGTCCTCCCTCGGGCACCCTGGGTGGGATGCACCCGGCATCCCCCTGGGCGCTGCAGTGAGGTGCTCCCCCTTTGCTTCCCCTGCACGCTGGAGTAAGATGCAGCATTGCTATATGGGGTTTTTAGGCAACCTTAAAAACAAGGACAAAATGGATCTGCACTGCAGGAGGAAAGCTGCTCCTTTCCTGCTGGAATGGGACCCTGGAGGAAGTTTGCAGCGGGCCAGGGTGGCTAGTGCCCAGCCGGAGCGGCAGCCCTGCAGTGAGGTTTCAGCTGTGTGAAGCTGGAGCCCAGCGCTGCTCCCTGTGAAGCTGCTCCCTGTGAAGCTCCTCCACTGCGCCCATGTCTGTCCTGAGGCTGCGGCAAGGAGGAGCTGCTAAAACCACTCCAGTGGGAGCCACTGGCTTCCCATGGGAGAGCGGCATCATGGCTTACCTGCACGTTAAAGGAAGCCTTGGATAGTGTTTGCGTACCCTCACCTATTGCAGCAGTGTGTTTTCGATCGTGTATTAGCTAAGCGCACTTGGTTCCCAGCACCATCGCACTTCTCTCTGCAGCTGTTCCTCCTCGGGGTGAGTGGCTGTGAGCAGGAATCTGTCTCTGCAGGAGGTGGCACGGGGGTCTGCAGTGCCAGCAGCCCTTCCCCACACCGCCTTGTCTTGGCCCATCCCAGTGCCCTGGCACAGTATCTCTGAAATGGGTTTTAACCTCGTGTCAGAGCTGACATGAACAAGCCTGTTCCACTGAGCTGGTGGAAGAGACACAGACCTGAAAACGGGCAGTTTAAAGGTTTTTGAAGGACAAATACTGCCCGTGGCTGGATCTGGTGGGACAGCACTGGGCTCTTGCCTTTTGTGCCTTCCAGCATGAAGTTTTTCTTCCCCAGCCAAGTGCCCGATCTGGTGATGGGTGTGATGGGGGCAGGAGAGCAGTCCTTAAAATCCACATTGGCAAGTCATAAAGTCTTCAGAATTGGTATTGGCTTGCTTTTGGAGCTTTTTGAGTTCCCCTCCAAATGCCATGAGCAGAGCCTGGAGCTAGTGAGGATTTGGACCTGGGCCGTGATTTGGACACATCGAGCAGAGCAAAACTCTGCTGAGTTTGCAAAACCGCCCCCATTTGCTCCCCGCTGCTGCAGGGGACACCAGCCTCACCGGGGCCAGTCGCACAGTGCTCTCCTTTGCCAAATCTGTGTTTTTTCTAGGCACATATTGATTTTGTTGTAGAGGGAGAGAAGTGGAAATATAAAACAGTAAACCCTTTAAACTTTAGGGAAGTAATTTATTTGTTTGGGATGTTTATTTTCACCTTAATCCCAGGTAAAATTTATTGGGCGAAGTCCCTAGGTGGTGAAATTCCTGGGACCTGATTGAATTACAAGAGGGTAGCTGTGTCTTGGGATTTCTATTATATTATCTTTTAATTGTTCAGATTGATTTTTTTTTTTTCTTTTTTTCAGGCCAATACTGTGCTGCAACAAAGACTGCTGTATTCTGGCATTCACCAGAGAGCGACTTGCAGGAGAGGGAGAAAGGAACGAACTGTGGTGCGTGATTAACAGAGTTACTTGTCTAGTAAGTTTCAGGTTTATTTGCCTAAAAAATGTTCCACAAACAAAAAAGTTCTCAGACAAATATTGCTAAAGAACAAGGCTCTTTGTCCACTCTTTGTAAGGCAAAGGCTCCACCCTGAGCCTGCCTGGCACTGAAGGGCCACTTGGCAGTGCTGAGTTATTGCTGCCGAGAAGAAACACAGGCAGATCTCTGCCCTCGCAGGGGGTTTTCCAGGATGTGGCAGGTGAATATTCCTGTTTCCCCCCAGAGCTCGAGGAAATTTTCACTTCTTTTCCCAGAAACTTGTCGCGTTGCTGGTTTTGGATTTTTTGCCCCTGCTTTGCAGCCCCACATCTCTCTCTCTCCCAGCAGGTCCTTGACCATGAACAACCCTTTGTTTTTGTGCAGGGTGGGGATGCAGCTCCAAGGAGGGCGGCTGCCAGATGTCACCCGTGCCCACACCCAGTGCGTCACTGCTCCAAAAATCAGGGATTTTTCTGTGAAGCTAAATGTGGGGGTGCAGAGGAGGGGCCGGTGCAGGGTAGGTGCACATCCCCTGTGTCCAGGGCTGGTCCCACCACAGGACAGTGGAGGATGCTATGATGCAGTTTCTAGTCTCGAAAGGAGTCACCCAACTGAGTTTTGCCGAGTTACTCGGCAGGAGAGCGCTGTTTGCCAGAGCACTTATAAATTCCTCAGCTGATAAAAACTCTTGGCCAACTGCTGCACCTGTTGAACAGCTGGAGAGGGCATCTAGGGGCAAAACTGCACCCGGCGCAAGTCAATAGTTAACCCAAGTGAGTCCCTGATCCTGAAAGAGAAGCCAGGCAGGGTTGTGGCTGCCGGAGGAACATCACCCATCTGCGGCTGCCACCCATTCTGTCTCTTGGTGTCTTACTTGTCGTTGGCAGCCACTTGTCTGGTTCTCTGTGTCACTGAGCGTAAAGCTAAGTCACTATGAGCTCGCCTCTCTGGTGAGGTTTCCCCAAGCAGAGAATCCAGAGCTGCAGCAGCGATGAGACGTGGAGGGGAGCGACTACATCCCCTCCGGTGTGGGAACAGCAGCTGGCAGCTCGGTGGGGATCCCCATGCTGTGGGTTGCAGGTTGCACCAAAGCTGCCCGTGCCAAAACCCCAGGGCAAAAGGAGGGACACAAGTGGTGGTGCTCAGGGCTGGCAGCAAGCTGGCTGCTGGGAAGAGGAGTTTTTTGGGGCTGAAAGCACAGGGTAAGCGTGGGCCATGCGTCAGTCCCTCTGCTGGGCAGCCACGGCGAAGGGCTCTGGTTTTCAGTGATTGCACGTATGGGAGGACCTGAAATGCATTTTTGGCAGCTAGCAAAGTCCTGGGTGCCAGCAGCCCAAGGGCTCCCGCTCGGCGCCTGGGAGGTGCCCCAGCAGTCTGGGTTGTGCACTGGAGCATTGCTGGGCTCTCCCGCTCACTCGTTTGCTTTCCCCATGTGCAGCCTGAGCCCTGGCTGCTCTGAGTGTGAAGAGGTTGTTCTTGGGAGATAGGGATGCTTTCGTTATCATCTCGGAGCAGGCTTTCAGCTGACCAGTGTTTGCTGCTTTCTGTCAGAAAGCACTTGGTACTTCATGTCCTCCTACACTTCCATCTAGTCTTGTTTCTCAGATCTTCAGCTGATGCCACCAGCTTTTTAAAGAAAATAATGCCCTCCCTACTGGTGCTGTGTGGGCCGTGAGACCTGGTCTCTGTGCAAGCTCTTTCAGCAGCGCAAGAAAAACCAGACGATATCCTGAACAGCAGCTTGGCCTGGGACACTTTGCATAGTGAGCACCCTGCAAATTCATCCGTAGACATGGTGGATAAAGGGCTTTGACCTGGACCACACAGCTGATTCCACCACATATCCCGTAATGGGTGGAAACGCGGATGTAACCTTTGCTGTTAACACAGGTAGTTCATGAATTCTGTCTATGAAACTGGCACAGCTGCACCTCACAAAAAGGATGCCAGCGCGTGGGGTTTCCTCTTAACCTCTGTGCTAAGAGAAGTAGGAACAACTAAAACCTTCCCTGTGCAACCCTCTAACCTGCCAGCAAGTCAAAAGGAAAGTGCTGCAGCAGGGCATTATCTCAGTCATGCTCTAGAAACCCCATTTCCGTGAGGCAGCGGGGATGGGACAAGCCTACGTACCGCTCGGTGTCCCGGGTGTGCCGTCCCTCTCCACAGGCTGTGTGTGTGCCGGGGCATCCTGGGGAGCTGGGACACCAGCTGCTGGTTGACACGGTGGTGTGGCTGCCCAGCCTGGCCGGGACC